GACTTCAATTGCGTTTTACTAAATAACCTGTTTAATTTTAAAGATACTGATTTACATTTTTTTCCAGACGACAGGTATGCTCGAAAGCAACAAGAACATGTAAAGAAAAAAAAAATTCAAAATTTTTACGTTCTAGGGTATCCTGTAACCTTAAATTAAACGGTCAGTGAAAATCGAAAAATCGCGTCGCGTTGTCGAATCGCGTCCGGACCTTAAGGCCTACATTAAATGCAGTACATGCATGTGTCCGAATAAAATAAATGGACAATTAATTTAAAGTATTGGATTCCGTAAATAGATATATTTTTCTAATTAATTAATAATTAAAAGGTCGTAAGATATAAATATTGTAATCCCCACCTCTCTCCGCTGGTCAGTGAGTTATCACACGTCACGTCGAATTTTGTCGGAAAAACAAATCACGTAGTGTTTCCATATTCGAGACTTAGACAATGTTTATTTTTAAAATTACTCCGCTAATGACAATGTGAATTAACTCATAAGATGGGTTATTATATCAGACAAAGATCGACAGATGTTTTTTTTTTATATCAGACAAAGATCGAATGTATGAATCACATTCACCGTCGTCATCACGGATCGTAAAGGTCATTCGCTCGAAACGTCGAATTTCTCCTTATATTTTTCAGGTAGTTGCAACTGAATTACTGTAAAAATTGGATCAAACCCAGCCATGCATGCAGAGGAAATTAGATTTAGTTCCAGTTAGCGGGGAATTCAAGTTAAAAGCGAGTTCAGCGGGTTTTCTAAAATGATATCCTGCAGGCAGTGGAGTTTTCGCAAAGACGGCTCCAGTTTTTTCGAGTCTGGTGTAATGTCCACTCCTCGTTCTAAGTTTAAATTTACTAACCCTTTATTAACTTAGTTTATACTAAATTTTATAATACCATTGTCCATATGCTCAACTTTGATATCTGTCTGGCTTTTTCCTTACTCTTCTTGGATATCTAGGCATTTCTGTCACTATGGAGGGATTTTCTGTGTGAGGTGCTTCACGTTCAGGATCTTTGGAGACGTCAGGATTTTCTCGTGTTCCACATTCAGCGTCTTCACAGATGTCAGGATTTTCTTGTGATCTTTCTGGAACACAAAGTTCTGGGCATTCTGTTTCTTCCTTTTCCGGCTTTACAACAGGCTTGAAGAAAGACGAATTACGGGTTACTGATCTGGAGTCTCTCCTTGCAGTGACCATTGATCCTTTCTTCTCCACCACTTTATATGGACTGGGATCATAAGGCGGAAATCTTTTACTTTTGTAGTCGTTCTTCAAAAGTACCGTATCACCTTCTTCTAAATGGCTGGGTTTGAAATTGGATTTCAGGTTAGCATAGTACTTCATCTTGAGTTTGGCATGATCATCGTTTTTACGTATAAAGTCATCCTGTGAGTTGGATTCTTCCTATTTGCGGCAAACGAGTTTTCATTGGACGGCCAAACAGGGCAGTGGCTGGTGGGGTTTTGGTTGACGTGTGAGGAGTAGTTCTGTAGTTTCGTAAAAATTTGTACATTTCTTGCTTCCAAACTTTGTTTTCCATCACAGCTGCCTTTATCACCTTCTTCACGGTGCGCATGAACCTCTCCACTTCACGTTAGCCCGGGGCCAGTAAGGGATAACTTTTCTGCGAGTGAAACCCAAATGCTTCGCAAACTCGTTAAACTCCCGACTGTTAAGCTGGAGTAATACGAGCAACAAAATTGCTGCAACTTGCAACAAAATATGATTTCAACGCATGTTAAGTAGAAATGTTGACACATGTTGCTTCGTGATTTGTAATTTATATGTAAACATTTTCAATTAACATGCGTTGAAATCAGATTGTGTTACAAGTTGCAGCAATTTTGTTGCTCGTATTACTCCAGCTTAAAATGGAGGACCATTATCTGATCGCAGTACTTCAGGGGCCGGTTGTTCAAAGGTGGTTTAGCGTTAACCCTGGGTTAGAATTTAACCTGCTGTTTTAGTTTGTGTATTTCTGCACGTCTGTTTATTTCAAAACTTCAGAAAAGTAAACTCCTATCGATCCAGACAAGATCTCTGAATATTTCCAAATTTATAGACAAGCTGTCAGGAAGTTTGCTTTGAATTTTAGGTTAACCTAGGTTAACCCAGCTTTGAACAACCGGCTCCAGGTATTCCATATTCAGAAAACATCTTATCCAGACAAGGTATGACAGCGTTGGAAGACGTCGATCGTACCAATTCAACGATTGGAAATCTTGAATAGTCGTCGATAAGGACTAGTAGGTACTCATTAGAACCAGTAGGCGCCAGGCCAAAGTCTATACTCAGCTCAGTCCATGGTTATTTCGGTAGCTCAGACATTTGTAACGGCTCTCTCGTGTTTCTTGGCGTCGTTACTTGACAGGCAAGGCAAGATTTCACTTTCTCTTCAACCAATCGACTGATCTTTGGAAACCAAACTTTCTCGCGTATCAACGCTTAGGTTTTAAACACTCCCATGTGACCTTCGTGAGCTATATCTATCACTTTCTCTCGTAACGCTTCGGGAATTACAATTCTACGTTCTCTCAAGACTAGGTCGGGTAGAGTACACAGTTCGTTTCTTACTTTCTGAAAACTCTGAAATGTTGATTCTTGCATCTTTGGAGGTTTCGTGCCATTTCCCGGTTTGAACAGCTTTCATTACGGCTTGTAGGGTAGCGTCATTTTTCGTTGCCGACTTCAAATCGGTCAGGTTGATGGCTTTAGGCGTAGAGGTTTCTGCCAGGAAATTTACGAATTCTTCAGCTACCTTCTCTTGACGGCTGTTCGGAGTAACATCACGAAGCGGATGTCTCGATAGATAATCTGCCGGATTTTCAGTTCCAGGCTGATAGCGTATTGTGACGTCATAAGGTTGTAAACGCAGGGACCATCTTTCTAGACGAGCTGACGGTTTCGATGCTGGGTTTGAGAATATCGTGACCAACGGTTGATGGTCAGTAAATACGGCGAATACTTTCTCCATTCTCCGCTAAGATCTCCTGCTTGTAAATCAATAGCTGGAAATGTCGGTAATGCAGCCATCCTCGATTCCTTGTCGCCAAAATGTAATGCCGTCCACTCCTCGTTCTAAGTTTAAATTGACTAACCCTTTATTAACTTAGTTTACCGACTTTTATACACAATACATGTCCACTAATTATTCATGCAAATCATTCATAATGAGTTCGTAATAAGTATATAAAACTTTACATCTGGGTCCGCTTTTTTCTCGAGTCCGGTTCCCGTTGTTTCAGTGTTGTTGCAGCAGCCAATGATATTGCATTCCTAGTTGCTTAAAAATGCAGATATATGCATAAATGGTTTAGGGAAAGCATTTCCGAAGTGAAAGTGTGAGAAAAAGGTTGTGTGAGATATAGCTATCAGACGAGTTCTATCAGCGATCTCTTAAATCTCAAAAATGAAAGCTATATACACCTTACCTGTGTATTTATTTCTATTGGTTATATACAGAACCAAGGCACATGATATTTCGAAAAGAGCAACAGCTAACAACGACCTTTATGTACTTGCCGAGCGCGACGGCGGTTGTGTTTCAGTCGACAGTATCGAGCCTTGCCCAGTGACTTGGAAACTTAGTGCGATTGCAGCGAAATTTTATAACCAACAGACAAGACTGACAAATCTTTCGTTAAACGAACTGGGGGTATTATCGGCCAGCGATGAATGTAAGGACGCGTTCAAGACAACAATGTGTGGCCAGGCCGCGCCTAAATGTTCGGCAGATGGTAGTCAAGACTATAATGCTTATGGGGATGTGGCAACGGCGTGCGCAAAGATCTACTCCGAATGTCCAAAGAACGTGTCTGAACAATTCAAATCACATAGGTTATGTGATAAGGTGTTCTCGGGAAAGATAGCAAAGCCAACATGCGTAACACCGCCTAAGATTGAGGGAAGCTGCCCGCAACCGAAATACAAGGTTTGTGAATAACGCAAAGCCAAAGGCTTTGCCGAAGCCCCTAGTTGGGCCTCAGCGATGTACTATGCCGTCGAGGGGTGGCACTTGTGACTTGTCTCAATAGCGATCGATATTTGCATGGGCTCAACATGCGTGACGGCCGGCTTAATTCTGTCAAGACTAGTCTTGCTGTCTTGGACTTGGACTGAGCAGAGATCGTGAAAACATTCCAAAAAAAACGCGTGTTATTGGTGTTAATAAATTCGCGAAAGTGATACTGTGATTATTTTCGGAGGAAGACTTCAAAGTGAATTTGAAGCTGATATCAGACCTCTCAACTTTGCAAAGAAGTTAAGAGTGAGATTGGGAATGTGGATGACACCTTTGTATAAAAAGTCCGGTGGTCTGAAATATTGGCATTTCGTGCATTATGAGAGTTGGTGTTTTTTAATGAAAGATACCGCATTGCTTCATAACGTCCTTTAAGACAAGGAACTTTAGTTACAATAACTGTATTTCTGCGACTGATACAGTAATGAGCTTTAATTTGCCAGTTTGATAATTTACATATTGAATTCTGCTCCGACTGATTCTGCCTTTTTTCCGCCGTATATGCGTACTATTTTGTATCCAAATTGCGGGCAAAATGTCGGGCCGTATATGCAGGAACAATAACACGCGATTATATGTTCGATTCGCGATCCGTATAACGATTATAATAATGTGCATTTGAGAATACAATATTATATTATTGAAAAAATACTATGAAATTGCTATATGCGTGAGATTTACTGAACGTGGCGTGAGAGTGAAGCGAATTGCGTGAGACTCACGCCGAATGCGTGAGAGTTGAGAGGTCTGGAATTTCACGTCATTTTGAATGTGAAAAAAATATTTCTGAAATTAGTAATGACTAATGTTTTGTTAAACATGGTCAAGCTGTCACAATTGACACAAAGCTCAGAATTTCGGCTCGTATTCCAAATGAGTTAATTTCCACTGTTGCGTTTTTCCGGCATACGTACGTATACGCACGTAAAACTTTAAGTTCCTATTTCCTGTTATTCACATATGTTTGTGAATTTATATTAAGATTGAGATTAAGATTAACACATCTACAGCGCAAATTTACATGTGGATATATGATCAAATGCGCTTTTTTATCTTTACGACAATTGCGATAGTACTTAGTCTTATAATTAACTGTGTTCATCCAAAGGGTTCATCCTAACCCATCCTGTCAAATGGGTGGACACCCAGAGAAAACGATTTCGAGCAATATTTGGCCACAAAAGTCCCCATTGCAATAACATACATACAGCAAGCCATGATTATTGAAAGAACGAAACGAGTTTTTATCTATTACAAGTAAACTACGTGAAGCGTTCCTCTTTCGAGTTTTGACTTCCAAAAGGCTGATTTCCACCGTAAAACTTTGAATCCTTCTATTTTTGTGGCAAGCCATATATGGCTTGCCACTTTGTTACGGTAAAAAAGTTGTCAGTTTGTCCAGTCACGTGACATTTAGCCTGCGTAGCAGGTGTGCGGGCGGTGAAGAAAGGGAATAGTGTGAATGTGTGATTTTAGAGGCATGTGTTGATTACTTGATTGAGTTGTTTATAGGCCTTTATATATACTTGATTTGGGCAATTTGTGAGAAGCTGTGCCTGTGTAAAGCAAAATTGACTTGATATTCCGCTTCAAATTTGTCAAAGGTAAGCAAACTTTGGTTGATTTCAGCCAAATATTGTATTTTTTATGCTTGAAAATGGGCCATTGTTGCTTAATTAAGGTTACAGGACACCCTTTTTGGCGTTTTGCGGAAAATCGCTACTGCGCGCTCAATATCAGTCCGATTTTCATCAAATTTTCACCAAATGTTCTCCAGTGCATGCAAAATATGGTAAAGTTGTAAAATTAACAAACAATAAAATAATGTAAGAGTTATTCAGGAAAATCTTAAATCGCGGTACCTTTACGCTTTTGAGTTGTGCTCCTGCTGGTTTTAAGTTATATTTATGAAAATATCATTTTTATACAGTAAAATAGTTGTTCTAAAAAATTGTGTTCGGAAATTTTTGTTTATTTCGTCATTCCGCTGATATGGCGATTTCTTTGACGACTGCAATATATTTCTGAATTGTTTGAGTGAATTGCTCTTTATTTTTAAACTATCCAAAATTTAAAAAAAGCCGAACACAATTTTGAAACTGACGTATTTAGCTATGTCCTGTGAAAATTTGAGAAAAATTGGTTAAAACCCGCAGGAGCATAACTCGTTTGAAAATCAGTAATTACCGTAAAATTTTTCGTGAGAAAATTGAAATTGAATATTACATTTTCAATGTTTTTCTTATTGCAGCGAAATGTATTTTATTAAATAACTCTGCGAGTTTTCAACATTTTTCGTTCAAACTTGGTCAGATAGTAGAACTAGTCTAATGCTTTCATTGAAACCAATAAAAAATTTTAGGCAAAATTAACAGTCAAAGGTGTTCTGTAACCTTAAGAGATGACTGCGGAGGAGGCTAGAATTATACATATAAACTCATTATTTGTTAGGGGCGGACCATCAGAAAAGTGATGGGGGTAGGGGGACTTTTTTAACTTGTACGAATATTTTTTCAAAATTTTTTGCTTGTGTCGATAATTTTTTTAAATATAATCCCTTGCACGAATTCTTTTTATTTCAACTTATAGTTTTCCCTATTGAAAAGTCTCGGCAAGAATTTTTTTTCAAACATTTTTGGTGCACGAATTTTTTTCTTTCTGTTTCCCCTGCGCGATTTTTATTTTTGCTTCCTCCCCCCATCACTTTTCTAATGCCCCCTTCGTCAACGTTTATTCATAAATCTGCATGGTCTTTCACTGTCACGTGTGTATTGTATGTATGCCCGACTAACCGACAGCAACATTTTAGGACTTGAGTTACCCATCCGTGACTCGAACAACAGGGTAATAGTAAATTGCTATTGGTGGATTTGGCAAAAATACAATACACACGTGACGTACGGTGAAGGAAATTATTTATGAATAAACGTTCACTACCATAGATAATGAGTTTCAAAACCATCTATTCTATTAACTATGTCTATGCTCTAATGCTCCCAAAGACCCAAACACGCTCCAGCAGAGAGCCCTAGTACTAGTAGATGCTACTTAGGGAGGAATGGCTCAATAGTAATAATAATAATAATAATAATAATAATAAAAACTTTATTTCAGTGTCCAGGTTATTTAACTTTTACAGCTAATTGGTGACACTATATATCTAAAAATTTACAATAAATTTATGTATATATATATAATAAATTTATAATAAATTTATGTATATATATATATATATATATATATATATATATATATATATATATATATATATATATATATATATATATATATATATATATATATATATATATATATATATATATATATATATATATATATATATATTACGGACTGCTTTCTTGAAACTGATTAGACTGGGCAAGTTCTTAATACCGTCATTCAATTCTGTCCATAGCATTGGTCCGAAATAACGCAAAGAATGTTTGCCATATTTGGTAGTATTAAATCTAGGTAAAATAAAGTCACTATTACGTAGGGTATATGTTGACTGTTTTAGACTAAAAATTTCATTAAAATTCGGCGCAAGTCCGTTTTTAACTTTGTACATGTAAATCGCAATGTCCTGTAGCCTTCTGTTGTATAATGAAGGAAGCTCTGCCATCTCCAGAAGTGTTTCATAAGAGTATGTTTTTGTTCTATAAACTGCTCGCAATGCACGCTCCTGGACACGTTCAACTTTTCGTCTATCCGACCCTTTGCAGAAATGCCAAACCTTGTGATAATATGTGAGGTAAGGAAGGATAGATGTTTTATAGATTATCAGTTTAGCTGAACACGGTATTAAATTACGTAATCGAGTTAGTACTCCAACTTTTCCGCTCGCCTTTTTACATAACTCGCTGATGTGGTTACTGAAATTTAAATTGTCATCAACTTTTATCCCAAGCAGTTCTATTTGATCATTTTTCTTGACAACTTTTCCATTCAAGAATATGTCTTTATTCTGTCGACTAGTGTCCACGTTTCTGGGTTTATGGTGAGCACCTGGAATTTGTCTGGATTTGCTTGTAGATCATTTTCTCCATACCATGACATTGCTTGTTTCCCTTGTTCCTTCCCTTGTTCCATGGCCAGGTTTGAGCCTGTTTTGTACATTTGATGGTCATCCGCGTACATGGTCAAGTTTGAATTGTTTACTTGTTGAGCCATATCATTTTGAAAAAGGTTCCAAATCTGCGGCCCAAAAGAAGACACCTGGGGACACCCTCTTTTCATATATTTCCATTCACTTTTCTTATTACCAACTTTAACTCTATTATTCATCCGGTTCTCAAAACATGATCTCATGAGATTCAAGGAAGATGATCCAAACCCGTAGGCTTCAAACTTCTTCTTTAAAGTTAGCGTATGAGAGAGCGAGTCAAAATGGCTCGACCTCGTAGGTTGTACCATAGTTAATAGAATAGAAGGTTTGGAAACTCATTAGAATAACAATAATTACCCTATTGTTCGAGTCACGGATAGGTAACTTTCCTAAAACATTATTACTGGTTAGTCGGGCAAAAATATGAATAAACGTTGACTAACAGTGTACACATATGCAGGCCCATAACTAGGATTTTAGATTTACCGAGCCGAGTCGTCGGGGCATGCTCCCCCAGAAAATGTTTGATTTTCTAAGGCTTAGAAACGCTATTTCCTGCATATCTGTGCCGAATTTTAACAAAAAGTCAGTAATGAATAACAGTGACACAATGACTATAATTTCATAGTCTTCCTGCATTCTGGGAGCAGTTTTAAGAAAAAATCAATTTCATATGACACACAGTGCATGACTATAATTTCAAGTATCCAATCATAACAATTCAAGTACCCTTGGTCCAACACGATCAGGTGCATGCATAATAAAAAACGTGTTTGTGGTAATATTTGTGACACTAATTCGTACTTAAAATTGAATAAATTTCATTCAGGATCTGATTTTTTCACAAAACATCTTACCGAGTCAACTGACTCGGTTGACTCATAGCCTGATATCCTCTACCGACCATAGGCATAACATAATATTTTATAGTACATATCATCAATATAGTTTATAGTATAGTAGTTTTAAACTGCATGAACTTATCGCAATTTTTAAAAATTTTAATATTATCTCTGTAATATCACGTTTTTTTAAATTTTTATGAATTTACAATGTGGTAATTATTAAAAAATCAATCAATCAATAAAACTCATTTTCAATCGATAATGTTATTGATGTTATTAAATGTTTTACAGCATATACATATTGTACAGCATCACCATGTACATGTATCCCAACACGGATAACGTGCTCCCACCCACGGACCCACCCCCCAAACCAGCTGTAATACCGAAGTTTCGCCCCTGCCAGTTTTACGAAAATGAATTTGCGATTCTGAAAGTTGTTTTTTTCTTATGGTTGATTTTACCAATTGAGTGTTCTAGCTTGTTAAATATATACGGTGGCCCATAGGGGTCATGGCACAAACAAAAACTCCACGGCACAAACAAAAACCTTCACGGCACAAACAAAATATTGCCACGGCACAAACACTCCACGGCAGGTGCACATAACCAGTGCAATTTGCTGTTAACGTGTTAGACAAAATGGCAGATGCCAATGAAGACGGTTTAGAAAACGAGCACTTCGATCGATCGAACGCATGAACAGGTTTTGATTACAGAGATTGTAGAGGCTATAGAGGGTTTGATTATGAGGAAATCATTGCAATGTTCTCTTAATTCATCCAAGACGTTCTGAAGCAGCTGGGAGAAGTAAAACCATAGGCATTCCAATTCCAATTCTGAAGTAAGATCCACGACTCTGTTATCCACCATATATTTGAAAAAAATTATCCACCAAGTTGAATGTAATCTCCTTAAAAACACCGCCCGCTAAGCCTCTATTCGTTGGTTTCGCGGTGACGGCACATATCTGTGACGATCTGGGTCATCTCTTAGAAATGATTAGATTGCTGCCATCGTGCCATTCTCTGTGCCACGGTCAGTCACAAGAACAACTGGACATCCGCCATATTCTTATACTGCATCTAGATAATATGCAGCTACATTATTCTGAATGTTGATTATTTGATCTCGTTACGAGTAACCATAGTATTTTTCTACTCCAGCCGTCGATACATCCATGAATAGGGAATCCATACGGCTTGAGTTTATCGTACCTGTCACAATGTGAAGAATAGTTCGGACCGGGGTTGTGATATCTTCTCCTTTTTAACCGGTGAGCCTTTCGCATTTCAGTCCCTTCAGGATCGAACTCTTTCAGAAGTTGTTGTACAACAATACGTCGTCTGAGTCTGTATCTTTGCAATCGTCGTTCAAATGTGGCCATGCTCATTTGAATATCATGATTTTGTAATAAAAATAAAATGATTTCCTTATGATCAAAACCTCTATAGAAATAGTAGCGAATGAGGCTTTCTTCTTCCGGCGCTTCATGCGTTTCGAAACCGTCTTCATTGGCATCTATCTGCCATTTTGATTTTTGTCTAACGCGTTATAAAGAGCAAATTGCACTGGTTGTCCTTCTACTGTGGAGTTCTTGTTTCTGCCGTGGCAATATCTTGTTTGTGTCACGCCATATGGCAATTAATATTTTGTTTGTGCCGTGGAGTTTTTGTTTGTGCCGTGAAGTTTTTGTTTGTGCCGTGACAATATTTTGTTTGTGCCATGGCAACATTTTGTTTGTACCGTGAGGTTTTTGTTTGTACCGTGACCCCTATGGACCACCGTATAAATACATCATTTATTATTGCAGGAATAAGTGAAAACAAAAATTATGCTGACTAATTTTATTGTATGATAATTATTTATTTGCATCATTGATAGAAAGGTCATACTAATTTAAATATCACATTCGTATTAAGTTATTTAAAACACGTTAAATTAAACTGACAGAAAATAGAAAACTACCGCCCGCGGAGTCATACAGTATCTTAGGTGTAAACTAAGGTCCTTTACACACGTAAGAATCTCACATCTTGTCAACAAGATGTGTTCACAACATGCGGCTTTCTACTCCTAGTTAGCCTGTGTTTGAAAATAATCAACGTGAACTTTTTCTGCTAAATCAAGTTCTCCAAATTCCTTCAAGGCAGACGCTAGACCTTCTTTAGTACCTCGTCTCTTGTGATAATCACCCAACATCGCGATCGCTTTCAGTACATTGTCTTCGTGATTAGGATTCTTTCGAATATTCTTGATCTCTTCAAAGTCGAATTTCCCGGTAGCTAGAGCAATCTTTTCCCACTTATCGGATAATCTTCGGCCTATTTCTTGCGGAGAAAAAATAGGTTTTGATTCAGGCTGCAAAAGTTGCACAGGATCTGTGGTAGAAAAACAAACGATAATTTACTTTGTTCAATTTCTAACGCTTTGCGCAACAGAGAACATACGAAAACATCGCTGAAATCTCCTCCAATGCCTTCCTGTTTGCCTATCATTAAAAATGTTGTTCCAGAAATTAAATTTCCTTTCCAGGAAGCAAGAATGTTTGGCACCAAATTCAGATATATTGTTTTGACAGTGAAACACTGTTTTTCTTCTGGCCACTTAATTTACAATTTACCCAAAAGTAATAAAGTAAATAAACATCAATTATTATAAACGTCAATTATTACCAGGGTTTTTTTAATAAATTCTAACATCATTCTTGAGATTTCGTCATTATTATTTACTGTTATCGTATTGTATTAAATTATTAAAATGTAGTCCATTGTGTATGCGGTGTATAGGTTTCAACCACAGAGTTCAAGTAGTGAGATTCTGATTATAATGAGATTCTTTTGTGTAAACGAAAGCCACCTATACTACAAACCATTTCCAACTTACCCCCATAAAGACGATCAAAAATATGATTTATAAACACTCCCTTGTTCACTGATTCTTTAGATGATGACGTCACCACACCACCTGACTTGTGCATTGCTATGATGTAACAATCTTCATTGCACGCGTAGAACACAGGCGACCCAGAACAACCAGTGGTAGTATCTGCATTATAGAGAATGTACTTCGCCTGGATTTCATAAACTCTGCCTGTACTTAACCACTTTGACTTGCCTTCAGCATATTGTGCAATTTGCACTGTTTTTACATTGTAAACATCACGATGTGAAATACGTTTAAGCTGGAGTGGTTGGATGGCAAGTTTTGTACACAATGAATTGATATCTTCTGCTTTTATGCTAACTAATGTGAAGTCGTATTCCTAAAATGAAATTGGTTAGTTTAAAAATTGTGTTCATTCCACTATTCTAAATATGAACTTGTGTGCAACCCTGGGGATTTAAGTGGCAGTCCCGCTAAGAGCGGTCCGATGACTTTGACTTCGGAAAATAGATTTCCTTTATTTTTTGTGTGTTGAAAGGCATTGGTATACAAGTGTCCAAAATAAATTTATTTTTTGAAAATTCTTTTTTATGGCTTCGCTAGACGCCGAAACTCATTTCACCCGTGCAGAGCTGATTTCAAGCAAAATCGAAGGTTGAATTTCGGTAAATTGTAGAGCCGCGCTGTTTCAAAACGCCTGACTATTTCCAAATTTCAACTAGATCAACAAGTTAAGATACAATTCAGGTTCCCTGTTCCAAAAAATAAGAGCATTTGAATAAATTGTGAATAAACGACAGCGACTTGACGGCACACCGGTTTTTGCTTCTTGTTCGGTCTACAAAATTACACTAAAATCGAAGCCTGAGATCTCCAAATGGGGACCTAAAATTACGCTGAAATGTGCTTGGTTGTAATGATTTATACTTATTTTCAGAAGATCTGAAGAAAAACCTGCGGGTATCAATCTGTATTTGGCGCGAGTTAAGATTTTCTGGAGTCCATAATCAATGATTTTTGCATAATTTATAGCTAATTAACATATTTCTTGAGAGGCGCTAAAAGTAAACAATTTCTTTCTGACTAACATATCTCAGATGAAAGAGACTACCACAGCTAGTAAAACCCTCTTTGTAAATATAGTCGTAATGTTCTTTTCCTGACACGCTGAGAGAGCTTTGATTTTGAATGTTATGCCACATTTATTCAGTCTGACCAGATTCATAAATGTCACGAACTTGTATATTTCAACAATATCAGTACCACAAATCAGAATTCAGAAAGACCGATTATTCTTTCCTTGATTTAGTTGATGGATTTAGTTGATTGATTTAAAAAACTATAAGTATAATAGAACATTCCATGTGTTTCCATTGCCCCTATATAGGGCTAGAATTTTTATCAATATGTTCTATTTTTCTGTGGCGACGGCATATTAACAAAATACGACACAAAAATGTACATTCGAATTTTATATGACCGACATATCAGAATGTTATTTATGAAGTTTGAATTGAATTTACTTAACGCGAAATAAATACTAAAATAGGAATTTTCTATGCTGGGTTAGTAAAAGAAAAAGCATAATTTTAATTGTATGTAATTTCGATGAATACTATTAAAAAAATTATACGCATTGTTTATATTACGATAGTAGCGACGTTTGTTTTAGCCATGTAACCGAAATAAACTATAAGCATTCTGATCAGTTATTTAACAAAAATATCAAACTTGTGTCTTGTGAATTTTAATTCACAAACTTTTGAAATTTATTCTCAGCTATGGAGCTCACGAATATATTTTTTTTTCAAAGAAAAATATTGAAATTCGATTATTTATAAAATTGATATTTTTGTTAAAAATGTTAGCTAATTTATATAAACAATGCGTATAATTTTTTTTATATATAGTATTCATCGAAATTACATACAATTAAAATTATGCTTTTTCTTTTACTATAAACCCGGCATAGAAAATTCCTATTTTAGTATTTATTTCGCGTTAAGTAAATTCAATTCAAACTTCATAAATAACATTCTGATATGTCGGTCATAAATTCGAATGTACATTTTTGTGTCGTATTTTGTTATGCCGTCGCCACAGAAAAATAGAACATATTGATAAAAATTCTAGGCCTATATAGGGGCAATGGAAACACATGGAATGTTCCATTATACTTAGGCCTATAGTTTTTTAAATCAATCAACTAAATCAATCAGCTGAATCAATGAAAGAATAATCGTCTTTCTGAATTCTGGTTTCTGGTATATTTTGGAAATATACAAGTTCGTGACATTTATATATGAATCTGGTCAGACTGAATAAATGTGGTATAACATTCTAAAACAAAGCTCTCTCAGCGTGTCAGGAAAAGCACATTACGACTATATTTACAAAAAGGGTATTACTAGCTGTGGCAGTTTCTTTCATCTGAGATATGTTAGTCAGAAAGAAATTCTTTACTTTTAGCGCCTCTCAAGAAATATGTTAATTAGCTATAAATTATGCAAAAATCATTGATTATGGGCTCCAGAAAATCTTAACTCGCGCCAAATACAGATTGATACCCGCAGGTTTTTCTTCAGATCTTCTGAAAATAAGTATAAATCATTACAGCCAAGCACATTTCAGCGTAATTTTAGGTCCCCATTTGGAGATCTCAGGCTTCGATTTTAGTGTAATTTTCTAGACCGAACAAGAAGCAAAAACCGGTGTGCCGTCAAGTCGCTGTCGTTTATTCACAATTTATTCAAATGCTCTTATTTTTTGGAACAGGGAACCTGAATTGTATCTTAACTTGTTGATCTAGTTGAAATTTGGAAATAGTCAGGCGTTTTGAAACAGCGCGGCCTACAATTTACCGAAATTCAACCTTCGATTTTGCTTGAAATTAGCTCTGCACGGGTGAAATGAGTTTCGGCGTCTAGCGAAGCCATAAAAAAGAATTTTCAAAAAATAAATTTATTTTGGACACTTGTATACCAATGCCTTTCAACACACAAAAAATAAAGGAAATCTATTTTCCGAAGTCAAAGTCATCGGACCGCTCTTAGCGGGACTGCCACTTAATTTTCAGTTGAAGGGAAGGCCCACTTTCTAAGCACGTTTACATAGTAGCTTAACGTTCGTTTCTGAACACATGTAATATAAATGTTAAATTATAAATGATCAGTTTCCATTCCACGTACACTTCATCTGAGAATTTTAGTCAGGGACGTGCCGACCGATATGCCTTGGGGGGGGGGGGGGGGGGTTTGGGCTCCCTTATGCCACCCCAAAAACTTTCCGGAAAATGTTGGTGAGCCGGGGTATACGTTTTCCTAAAATACGTCTTGCAAATTTTCAACCTCAATTTTCACAATATTACAAAATTTTTAACACGTTTCGCAATTCCCCCAACACCCCTCCCCCCAGTTTCAATTCGAGGGGGTCAAAATTTAGAAGGAACAAGAATATGGAACGCATTACTATTACCAGGATCAATGATCTCTCTAACGATCTATAAAATTAAACAATCAAACCTGTTGCATGTTGTTTTTAAATACATGTATGTGTGTTTCTATGTAATGTAACTATGTGTGTTTTGTGGAACAGTACTTTTACAAGAGTTTCAAACGTTCACTGGTTAAAAAGATTCATTTGATTGCCAGTCTGCAGTCTTCGCCGAGTAGATTAAAGTGAATGATGTGATATTTACGTAGTGGTTTACAATTACAATATACTGACATACAACATACAATTATTGTCAGTTCCGCCTACGTATAGGATTAATGACTATTTAAATTGAAAAGAATTTAAGGTCTTTAGAGTTTTTGTTGTTATGGCAAATGTTTTGAGTTATATTATCAGTGACATTCAGTGTTTTCAATGCAAGCAGTGTGCCAAGATTCTAATGTCGATAGTTGTCTTTGTCAATTATTCTTCCGTTTACAAAGTCAATTCTATGATCGTTTTTCCACGCATGGTTCGCGATGTTTGAGCCACTTTTATACTTCTCCACGTTTCTTTCGAGTTCTCTTTTCCTAGTTTTGAAGGCTCTGCCTGTCTCTCCAATTGCAATGTAGTTCCACGCGAGCAATCAGAACAGTTAATCTGATAAACTACGTCTTTGACTATCTATACGTTCGTCTGATCTTCTGGTGGTGGTCGGTCTTTAGTCGAACGGGAATATTTGCTCTAGTGTGCGGAGAGGTTTCGTGGTTACACGAATGTCATAAGGTTTTACAATTCGTTTCAGTGGCTCTGTTAGTCCTTTGATGTATGGGAGGACGGCGTAATTATAATTGGTCTTCGTTTCCACAGAATCAAAAAATAAATGTACAAGTTCTTCAGGTGAAGCCGTGAAGGAGTTCGGTTTTGTTGCATGACACGTTTATGTTCTACTTGTAGGAATTTCTTAGGATAACCATTTGTCATCAACGATCAACGTGTTTGTTATATGTTTGCGTTCTTGTTGTTTTCCTTCGTCTGTGTTAGGTAATGTTGCTGCTCTGTGTAAGAGTGTCAGTGCAGTGCTAACTTTGTATAATTGTGTTGTTTGTCATGGTGTGAGTTATAGTCTAAGTATCTGTCAGTGTGTGTATAGGTTTTCGGTATACGTCAATGGAAAGAGATCCGTTGTTGCGTGTGATTAAAGTGTCTAAAAATGAAAGTTTTCCGTCAAGTTCTTGTTCTGTGGTGAAATTAATATGTGGGTCGATGGAGTTGAGTGAATTGTAAAAATTGGTCAACGCATGTTTCTTAATGATAGAAAAGACATCATCGACATAGCGAAACCATTTCTTATGTGGCATAGTGTTTGATTTGTTAAGTCAGCTGTGTATCAATCTCCTCCATAGACCATACAGAGGTTTGCCATAACAGGGCTAACAGGACTTCCATTAGCACAACCGTGAATTTGTTTGTAGGTTTTCTCGTTGTAATTAAAATAGCTATTACTTAGTAAGAGTGAAACGTAAAAGTTCAATGATGTCGTCAATTGATAGTTTGGTTCTGTGATGTAAGATTTTGTCTTTCTCGAGTTTGTTGCGTATGTGTTCACATGCCGTTGTCAACTGGTATTGCTGTAAAAAGTGATATAACGTCAAAAGACACCATGATTTCGTCATCGTCAATGACAATGTGAGCTTCAGTGAGTTTTTTGGCAAAGTCAGTGGAGTTAACAGAGTAACCGTTGTGGTTTTGTGATTAAATGGTGAAAGAATGTTTGAGAGAAATTTAGAGGTGTTGTAAAGAGCTGTGTTTCTACATGTAACTATAAGACGGAGTGGATTGTTAGGTTTGTGGTGTTTGACAGATCCTCGTATGGCAGGTAACTGCAGGTGGTATGGCGTCAGTAGAATGCAGTTTTTTGTACGTGTAACGTGTTTTGGTCTAGTTTTTGTTCGTGCTTCAGTTGAAGTAATTGGTAATTGTGCGTTTAATTCACGTTCGATTCTTTTGAAGGGAGGTTTAGTCACTTTCTCGTAACGAATTCTAAAACCTTATGACATTCGAGTAACCACGAAACCTCTCCGCACACTAGAGCAAATAAATAAATTAATATTCCCTTTGACTAAAGACCGACCACCACCAGAAGATCAGATGAACGTATAGATAGTCAAAGACGTCGTTTATCAGATTAACTGTTCTGATTGCTCGTGGAGCTACATTGCCATATTGGAGAGACAGGCAGAGCCTTCAAAACTATAGAGGCCTATAGGAAATCCGGGCTTACGGATCGAAAGCTTTGCAGTAATAAATTTACGTAGTGTTTCCACAAACAATAATATTATAATAATAATAGCTGTATCGACTATTTTTGCACAGTAAAATTCAAATGGGGATTTAACATTGTATTTATTTAAGTAATATATTTTGATGGGGACGAAAATTTAATTGAATGATATTTTTAGAAAACTATCACGTACCCCACCCCTTCTGCCCTTCATGTAAACGATCAATTTCTTAACGTCCTTATAATTTAGATTTGCTCCAATAAAGTCTCGGGACCTTTCTCTGGTATCGCAAAATACAAGTTCGAGGATTTTGTAGATGGAAATTTTGAGTGTAAATTTACCTAAATAAATGTATAAATGCTCTGCTGGGGCAGAGCTGCAAAAATTCAGCTATTGATTTGATTCCTGCCAGAGGGACTATCCTGCCAGAGGCTGTTCTAATTAATAAATGTATAAAATTTACACTGACTACTGGTAGTGTGGTATTACAACCATACCTTCAATCATTGTTATAATTTAGTATGATCGTAAAGTTAATGAATAATAAATAAATAAATAACCTACCTCATTGGATAGGAAGAAAATATCTGGATATAACTGTACAACCATTGTTTCATCTGTGCCATCGCGTGTGAATGTGGCAAATGATTTTTCTGCCATTTCTTCATTACATATTACTTGACTGTCAGTGAGGATTGCAATAATGCTCTTTCCATGAACTATACGTTCTACAAGTGTTCCACAGCCCTTCCTTGATGCGTAATAATAACAAAATTATGATTGGTTCAAAAGTACAAGTGTTACACAATGTCAATGGCATGTACTTTTAGCTAGTACATGCCTTGACATATGGTCAAATAAATTTAATCAATTTAATGAACATATTTAATGCCAGTATTGTTTTCAATGGTTAATGCTTTAATACTATATAATGATTATACTTAGTAGTTGTAATTATAATTATAGATTGTTCTTGTTTTAATATGAAATTGACATTTCTCCTGGGACATTTTGATTGGATACTAAGGCTATAATTATAATGCTATGGCTAACATTCTGTTAAAAATTTACCATGTTTCTAGTATTGACTATATTGTGTTCACAGCCATAGACTATATTGTGTTCACAGGCATAGTTTTCCACTTCAACCGTATCGTAGCAAAGCGCAGCATATTTCCTTGTTTCCTGAGCACTAGAGTGGAATGACTTCAACACAAAAGAAAATGCTAAAAACTGGCTTAACAGAGTGGTTTGTCATATAGTATACTAACTGTGAACTCAGAGCAGGCCATTCCATTTAATATCCATACCCAGTCAGAGTTTGTCACATCCACTATGGATGAGGTCAGTAACATTTTAGCCCCTAAGAAAAAAAGATCAAAGTGCTGACACAAAACCCCCCTCAGAAATTTGTAAATTTCCCCCTGACCTCTCAGAAAAATCACAGAGATCAAAGGATGCCGACAGGCTTAACTCCTCAGAAACAAATTTGGGGTCACCCTTCAGAAAAATCCATCCATTGGGGGTGGAGTCGGTGGACATTAAATGGAATGGCCCAGCTACGTATCACTACATTTGCCACTCTGAATGGCACTACGGATGCAAATATCACTACGGTAAATTAAATAAAACTATACTGTGGGTAAAAAGCATGTGTCATCTACTGTCATGCCCTGTACCCTGGTAGAAATCTTAATTAGGATCTTATAGGATCTTATAAGATCTTATAAGATTCTCTTTAGGAACAAGATCTTAATTAGGATCCTATAGGATCTTAATTAGGAAAAATGGATGGTTTAGGATCTTAATTCCAAGCAAGATCCTACTTAGGATCCTAAGATCCTACTTAAGATCCTAAGATCCCACTTAGGATCCTAATCAAGAAAATAATATCTTAATTAGGAACAAAACCCAATCTAAGATCTTGGAAAAACCTGATGTTTTCCAAATGGGAATTATGCTTGCTTAAAATAGCCAAATTTTGCCAGCAAAAAATACACTGATTTTCCTTATATATATGCTGTATGAATGTATTGTAAATGTTATTTACATAGAATTTAAACTACCCGTGCCTGTGCCGTTGGTCGCATTTTATTTTGTGTTGGGTTCAATAATACATTGTTATTAAAATACATTAAATCTTTGTGATATTGCTTTGTATTTACAGATTATAATTACAAGCAATAAATACTGTCATAACATTGTGATCCAAGCAAGTCAAACTGTCGAAATCATGATATATAAAACGACAACAAACTAGAATATTTACAGGCTACAGCTGTCAAGATTCAAGAAGGTATGAATATTGTTTATATTGATGTATTGAGAGGATATCAATACTGACTCATTTAGCTAATATTGGTATAATCGCCAAAGAAAGTTCTATTGCTTTGTATGAGAGGAGAAGAATCCTTCCTTTGTTTTATCTATATTGTGCTATCATATTACATAGCTATATGTGCATTTATTATCCAGACAACCCCTAAATACACATGTTGCTGAATTCCCTGAATACATTCAGGATATATGTTTCTCATAGTTATGAGTAATTCCAAGCTCAAAACACTGACCCCTGAGGAAATTATAGTGTACCCTTGAGGAAATATAGTGTACCCCTGATTGCCCTGAAGAAATAGCCCAATATGCTAAGTAGTATGCAGACCCTAACATGGCATTAGTAAATGTTTATGAGTCAAGTTGTGTGTTTATATTGAACCGAGGCAGCCCAGATACCAGAGTTAGCTCATTGTAGTGTTGTACCAACTACCCACAGATGATAGAATGGCATTCTTACTAAATGTACCTGTGGTTGGTCATATCCAAGCAGGATAGCGAGATAATCTGGTGACCAGGTATTTCCCACAGGTAGCTTTCATTGTGACTAAGAAAAATGTTTAAAAAAGACAAACTTGTGTATAACTTTAATAAAAATAATGAGTCTGGCTAATGAGGTTTTTGGGTAATAGTAGGATTATCTACAAATTAACTTGGACTGTAGAATAATCCCAATTTTCATTTTGTAGCAATTACTCACCACAGAAAGTTACTGTACAAATTGGCACAGGAAGGCATGTTCAAGGGAAAAGCTGGTGCAGCATTGTATACAACAGACACTGAGACATACAGCAAGAACTGGTTTAATTTATGTGCTTCAGTTACTTCATATTGTAAGTTATTACAACTTTAGAGGTGTATGTTAAGTTAATATTTCCCTGCCACTCTGGTTATAACCAGTTTCTCTGCCAATTGTACCTTGTTAAATCGCAGTATGCAAGAAATCACTCGACTTGCCCTAAAAAACTGTTACCTGTTGATACTTTAGCCAAACTTTCTGCCCAAATCTCAAATAATTTAAAACCGTCACCAACAAAAGATTAGATTGGGTTTGCTCTATCTACTGTTTGTATAAGTATGATACTTCCTCATCAGCCTCAAAAGCCCGTAAGGCCCGGTTTAGACGCCGTGCTTTTCATGAGCCGAACTTAATGCAAATGAGCTTAAACAAAGAACTTTGTTAATTAACATTAAGTTCGGCTCATGATAAGCACGGCGTCTAAACCGGGCCTTAGACATCCAGTGCACTCTTCATAATATTCTCTCATGCAAAATAATAATCTTTTCAAGGGAACATGTTGGCTATTATTGTTTAACAAAGGACAGTTACAGCAAAACATTTGTGGATTTTGTGCTACAATATAGTGATGTGTTCTTATTCGACTGTGTCAAAATGCCATTCAAGAAAGACTATTCGTTTCAAATCACCCGTACATCTGGTAACATGAACTTTAATTTGGATTACAGTGACTGATATAAACTATGTTGGAATGATTCAATTGAATCAAAACATGTAATATAGACTAAAGTTTTAACCCATTGAGCCGCAATGCACCCCAGTGTGCCCTACTTTTTTACTTGTCTAACGTCAGACGATTTTACTCGTCAATGGGGAAGCTCTGCAGCTTAGTGGGTTAACCAAAAAATCTGACAATGTCTCTAGTTAACCCATTGAGCTGTAATGTGCCCCAGTGCACGCTACTTATTTTTTACTTGTCTAACGCCAGACAATTTTACTTGTCAATTTAGAAGCTCTGCAGCTTAATGGGTTAAATCTCAAAATAATCATAGTTTAATTTGTAACTAGAAAATACATGCATGCAGAAACCCTCGCCACAGATTAAGAGTCCTCTTAATCTGTGCCCTCGCATTGCTGACAAAACCGTTGTATTTTACGAACATGAAGTATCTAAAGTAGTTGTCATGGTAACACGATAATTTTTTAAGAATATTCTTAATACAAATGAAAAATCGCCTAAAAATATCACTTTTAATTACAAAATTATCAATTTCCCAACATATTTATGTTCGGTATGTAATTATACGTAATACAAGCTTCAATTTAAGGTAAAATTCAACCACAAACAATTCACAAAACGTTTTAAAGTGTTCTTTATAAAACTAAACTGCCTTTAACTATTAAATGGCTTTATCGATAAACTTTGAGTTTGCAATAAAATGATTTCAAATTCTCGCTTGCAAATAACTTTGCTTTATTTTTATTTAAAAAATTCAATATAATAAAAAAGGGAATCAATATTAAAGATACACTGAAATTATATGCTGTCTTGTCTAGTTGTTTCATATACGCAAAGGCCGTCGGGTTTTAAAGCCATTATAAAATCAATATTTAAAACAAACTTACCTTTGTTAACGTCGGCTCCCTTCTTTTAGCTGATTCTTTCGCCCTTTCTTTCTTGAAATTTACAAAATCTTGCAGAAATACGAGCAAAAACGAAGAATATTTGCAAGAAATTTGTCAATCATCAACTCATCAAATCAAGAAATGTCAAATGTTTGCTATTTCGCTGTCGTCATGCAGCCGTTATAATGCAAACTTTAAATTGGACCAATCAGTGTCCGCTTTTAATGACAGTCCGCCATTTTTTTGAGATCAGTGAGGATGACCACCCATCGTTGGTGACCGACGCCCGCGCTCATTGATGAACTTCAGACTTCCCTAATGCTTTCGTTTCTCCGGGTGTAAATAGCCGGGGGGAATTAGTACCCTCGCACGGCGCTTCGCGCCGCCGGCTCGGGGATAATAATAGTTATTATTAGAGTTCACTGTCCCTAATGCTTTCGTTTCTCCGGGTGTAAATAGCCGGGGGGAATTAGTACCCTCGCACGGCGCTTCGCGCCGCCGGCTCGGGGATAAATTCATTTTTAACCAAATTGTTGTGTAGATCTGAGTAGGATCTTAGGTCAACACACTTGCCCACAGGTTCAAAACAGGTTCAATATGTGACTTTTTTATTTTATATGTCGCTTGGTTTGAAAGTATACCAAATATAGTTCTGTTTGCACAATTACAAATAGCTGTGGTACTGGTCATTTGGATTTTTTAGGTATTGACGCCTTACCTCACAGGTGTAGATTCAGGTTCATTCATAACTGAAATTTGACACACAGTACGCATGGCTTTGACCAGTTTATCCCAACACACGAGATCTCCTCCACGACCCGCAAGAGTTTCTTCTTTTTCAGCTGACATGTTGCTTCGTCGACGGCTTCACTTCTTGGAATCAAACTACATTGATTGCCATTATTTGTGCCAAGCAATAGTTGCTACTACTAGGAAAATAGGTCTTTGGAATTGGCTTCGAGGAACGGGCATTTCTATGCAACAGGGAAACCCCCCAAGGCGATGAACCTTGGTAGTTGGTACTTAGTCTCCTTTGCAATGCAGAATGGTTGAAGGATGTTCATGTTTATAGGACACTTTCAACTTAAAAACTAAGGTAAGTTATTTCCACATTTCTTAAACTTCTGTAAATTTAATATGCTGGCAATTTGACAAAGAACTACTATAAATTATTCCTAGCATTGCATTGTGAATTTATGTTGTAATAGTCTATTTTGCTGTCTGTGTATATCATATGCACTGAACTGAATAGATGATACATTTACCATGAGGCTGCATTTTGTGCATATTTTAAAATATTTTAGCGGTTTCCTCGTTACATAGTAGGGACCTTAAGCATGTACGACGGCAACGCGACGACAACAGCCAAAACAAACATCGTCAAATAAATTATTGCGATGAAGAGTTGTTGTGTATTATCCACTGCATGTATAAATTAATTGAGTTCAGTTTGAACAGATTAAAACAAAGGCTTTATGGTTAAAAACGCTTCTGCTGAGCAAATTTGTAGTTTCACTTGTCGCATCTTGACATGTTTGCGTTGTACACAAGACGTGAAAATCCCCGGTTTGCTGTTGTAAAAAGCCCTAACACAACGTCTCTAACTCCCGTGGGGCTTTTAATTATTCAATTCTTTTGTGCGAGATCAGGAATATCATTGTGTGAACAGCCGTTGTCGTTGCGTTGCCGTCCTGTTTGCTTAAGGTCCCTATTACCGTCTAGCGCATAACTCTGTAACATTACCGTCTAGCGCATATATTTTTAATACAGTAGCTCCTCAAAGCCTCTGTGGAGGAGAGAGCGTTTTGGCTATTTGGGTGCAGTATGGCACCAGGGGTGCAGTATTAGACTTATATGCCGAAAAAAGTCCCAAATACCCAAAGAATATTATTAACGTCATTCTAAAAATCGTAAATATAGTTTTGTCTGTGGGGGCAGTTGCCCCCCTCCCCCATTGTGTATGGCCCTGTATCCGCCCAGGTTCACCAGAGGGCATTAATTCCATGTTAACTGTGTGCTGAAGATATGCCAATATTAACCATAGGAGGTAATGGTTGGTAATGGTAATGGGGGCCCCTGGGAATTTTTTGTTGGGCCCCAGTCATTTTTGTGGGTTAAATATTTCTGCACAAAGGACAAGATTTGGGCTGAGTATCAAAATTTGGTATGAAAAATTGAGATAAAGTCCCTGGAAAGCATTTGCCACGTACTCGTCGGGAAAATTTTTTTACCTAAAAAGTTGTTGACGGGAGGGGGGGGGGAAGTTGTTGTCCGAAACCAAAAAAAATTTGAAATAGGGGCCCCCAAATTTTGCCCCGGGCCCCCGCCAACCTTTCGGCTGCCCTGGTGGTCAACTCAAATTATGCAACCGCGATCAACTCCCCCCTCCCGATTAACTGCAATCCAACCGAGATTGAATTCAACTGTGATCAATCTCTCATTAGAGTGTTGTGGTTCCTGCCCACACTTCTGGGCATTTGGCTATTTATTTGTCAAAAGTCAAAACCGCTGGTGGGGGGGTGATAATGCAGTTCAAGCGTTGACTGATACATTAACCCACTGAGCTGCAGCACTTTTCCATTGTCGAATATCAGACATAGTTAAATATAATTTCAAGTAGAAATAATTCTTAATGCCATATTGCCTAAATTCGTTATGTTGTTTTTTCTCATTTTTTTGTGCTGCAAAGACATTGAAGGTGAATATTAGAGGGGATTATTAATTGCAGGTGAATATTAGAGGGGATTATTACACGGTAAGGAAACCGAGCCGGAAACCGAGGAAACCGAGCCGGGTGAAAAATAATAAAGTTTGTCCTTCTGTTAAGAGTGTAATCCAGTGACATCTACAATAAAATAAATTAAACCTGCTGCAACTCAATCAATGCTTGAAAATCAAAACTAAAAGTAAGATGAACCAAATATTTGACGCTGTGAACCCAGTCCATCTAACAAAAACCGACAGATCTATGAGAAGAAGGCCAGAACCCTGTATAAAATGCAATGCAGTTTCCTGAAATTAGTTCCTCGTAAGTTTGTTGTCATTTCAGTTCGACTGGCTGGTTTATTTATGGGTTTATTTAGTAATGTCCAATACAGGCATCTGATGTCTGATGGTGAAGATGGTGTATGGTGGTGTATGATGGTTGAAGTGTGTCAGATGGTTGTCAGATGGTGTATGATGGTGTAGTGTGGTTATACAGGGAAGGGTTGTCAGATGGTGAAGATGGTACAGATGGTGTATGATGGTCGAAGTGTGTCAGATGGTTGTCAGATGGTGTATGATCGTGTATGATGGTCAAAGTGTGTCAGATGGTTGACAGATGGTGTATCATGGTGTAGGATGGTTATACAGGAAAGGGTTGTCAGATGGTGAAGATGGTACAGATGGTGTATGATGGTCGAAATGTGTCAGATGGTGTATGATGGTGTAGGGTGGTTATACAGGGAAGGGTTGTCAGATGGTGAAGATGGCACAGATAGTGTATGATGGTCGAAGTGTGTGGTGAAGATGGTACAGATGATGAAGATGGTACAGATGGTGTATGATGGTCGAAATGTGTCAGATGGTTGTCAGATGGTGTATGATCGTGTATGATGGTCAAAGTGTGTCAGATGGTGTATGATGGTGTAGGGGGTTATACAGGAAAGGGTTGTCAGATGGTGAAGATGGTTAGGGGTGCACCGGATTTCAAATCCGGCCGGAATTCCGGCCGGATTTAACAAATTTTCCGGTATCCGGCCGGATTTGGAGAAAATCCGGCCGGATTTAAATTTCTGTTTTCACCTTAAAAAATTCACCAAGAATGGGATAAACCATCAATTTGGCAGCTTTAAAGTTTAAAAAACAATTATATTATTATAAAATATTAAGTTATTAACAAAAATATATTTGAAAAAGGTTTAAACACAATCAAAAATCTAAACTGACACTAACTAAAAATAGTAAAACACATAAACCGCCATTTTGAATACTGATTTGTCCCCATTACCGGTTTATCTCAAATCCGGCAAATCCGGCCCGAATTCCGGCCGGAATTTTTGTCCAAATCCGGTAAATCCGGTTCCGGCCGGATTTGAAAATTCCAAATCCGGTGCACCCCTAAAGATGGTACAGATGGTGTATGATGGTCGAAATGTGTCAGATGGTTGTCAGATGGTGTATGATCGTGTATGATGGTCAAAGTGTGTCAGGTGGTTTACAGATGGTGTATGATGGTGTAGGATGGTTATACAGGAAAGGGTTGTCAGATGGTGAAGATGGTACAGATGGTGTATGATGGTCGAAGTGTGTCAGATGGTTGTCAGATGGTGTATGATCGTGTATGATGGTCAAAGTGTGTCAGATGGTTGACAGATGGTGTATCATGGTGTAGGATGGTTATACAGGAAAGGGTTGTCAGATGGTGAAGATGGTACAGATGGTGTATGATGGTCGAAATGTGTCAGATGGTGTATGATGGTGTAGGGTGGTTATACAGGGAAGGGTTGTCAGATGGTGAAGATGGCACAGATGGTGTATGATGGTCGAAGTGTGTCAGATGGTTGACAGATGGTGTATGATGGTGTAGTGTGGTTATACAGGGAAGGGTTGTCAGATGGTGAAGATGGTACAGATGGTGTATGATGGTCGAAATGTGTCAGATGGTTGTCAGATGGTGTATGATGGTGTAGGGTCGTTATACAGGGAAACGTTGTCAGATGGTGAAGATGGTACAGATGGTGTATGATGGTCAAAATGTGTCGGATGGTTGTCAGATGGTGTATGATGGTGTATGATGGTCGAAGTGTGTCAGATGGTTGTCAGATGGTGAAGATGGTACAGATGGTGTATGATGGTCGAAGTATGTCAGATGGTTGTCAGATGGTGTATGATGGTGTATGATGGTCGAAGTGTGTCAGATGGTTTTCAGATGGTGTATGATGGTGTAGGGTGGTTATACAGCGAAGGGTTGTCAGATGGTGAAGATGGTACAGATGGTGTATGATGGTCGCGGGGTGTCATTCGCTGTAGGATGCTTATATTAGATATTACATTGCTATATTTTATACTTACATACACTTTAGCCAACTATGGTATGTGTATAAAAAATATGTTATATCTAACATTGCGGTTCTCGTGTGGGACGTAATTCAAAGTATTTGGCAAAATATATATTTAAACACATTTGACAGATATGTTGGACGTAATAAATAAAAATATAATATGAATATATGATATTTCGATCACGTTGCGGTTCTCATGTGGGAAACGCAATTTAAAGTATTTGGCAAAATATATTAAAACGCATTTGGCAGACATGTTGGAGGTAATAAATAAAAATATAATATGAATATATGATATCTCACAATGCGGTTCTCATGTGGGAAAGGTAATTCAAAGTATTTGGCAAAATATATTTAAACGCATTTGACAGTCATGTTCGAGGTAACAACTAATAAATAAAAATATAATATAAATATATGATATCTCACAATGCGGTTCTCATGTGGGAAACGTAATTCAAAGTATTAGGCAAAATCTCACATTTGACAGACATGTATGGTGGCCGGTCGTTCTCATAGGAGAAATTATGATAAATTGAATATATTTAAAAAGAAATATAAAAATACATTAAAATAAATATAAAAACAATTTAATAAACTAATAAAATATTTAAAATTTTACGTTCTAAATAAAATACAAAGAAATGTTTTGAAAGTAAAAATATATTTAAAAAGAAATATAAAAATACATTAAAATAAAATACAATAAAACTTTGAAAGTAAAACAACAAAAAAATTTAAATCTTCAGATCAAAATTAAATTTTAAAATATAGAAATTGAAAAACATTTGTATGGTGAACTTTGAAATTGATTTGCGATTTCACTATGAAAGCAATCCGTCGTGCCCTGGCCAGTCGTTCTCATTACAAAATATTTCACAAAATGAAATGTTGCAAGCGGCCGGTTGTTCTCATAGCCCACGATAATTGTGACAGCGGTAACTCAAGAAAAAGAAAGATGGCGGAAGTTTGGTGGAAGGAAGGGAATAAGAAATAACGATTGGGAAAACGACGACGATTTAAAGTCTTTCCTAGAGCGAAATGTTATGCAAAACCTATCACGCAGAGAGACTTTGGATTTTGTTCGCCGGGATTTTCCGCAGTACGCCTGGAGCTTAGGAACTTTAAGCAGAAGGTTTAAAGCGTTTTATGATATCAAGTACGTTCGGTACGATACACCGCTCGAATACGTGGAAAGCGCAGTGTGTGAAGAGACAGAGGGTCCAGGACAATTACTAGGTTATAGGGCAATGCAGCGAAAGCTAAGAGAACAACATAACTTAGCTGCACCCCGTGATCTACTAGTACACGAGTCACGACATTATGGGTTATGTCGATCCAGAAGGATTGGAACGCCGCGGGAACATTGGGGAGAAAAAACGAAGAAGAGGTGCCACTGGTACTTTTACATCGTTGGTATGGAATTTTTAAACTTAATTACTACATATAGACGGAGACTATACCACTTAAAAAATAATTTTTGATATTATTAAGCATCGTTTGTCAAAGGTCCCCAAGTAGGCTTATAAAACAGTACTAAAACTGTCTGTACAGTGTAGGTACAGTAGTACCAATGTGAACTTGCTGTGCTGAGTGGTTATATTACTTCCTGAAAA